TGTGACAACTGAAATTAGAGCCAACCACAATTTTATTTTGTTAATGGTTTATAGTGCTGTGAAATAAAAATGTTCATTACAGTAAATCATATACTTTGTGTTCGTCTTCATGTCATTGTCACATAATGTGACACCGGTGTGAACAAGAACTACTGACAAGACTGTAGTAAAAAAAAAAAAAGAAGATCAAATCAGTCAAAAATATAACTTATTTATTGATTATATCAATAAATAATGCTGTTAATAATATTCTTTATTTCAAGCTCATCTTACTTTAGAAGTCCTTACTCTTTCTATTTGTTTGGTCTTGTTACAGATTTAAGTCATTTGTCTCCTCCCCATTTCCCCACACATTTCCAATTTCCCTCATGCTTTTATGATGAGATGGTCATATCTTAACTGATCTTAACTGAAAACATTGGTGAAAAATGAACACCAGCCATTTCAGCTAACTAAAGCTCTTAAAACTAAACCTGCCAGTGCCTGTAATATTTATCATCTACATATGGAATACTTCAGCTGGCAGGCTAATGCTACTTCTTTAGTTTAACATTATGGGTAAGGAGATATTAAATCACAACTACACAATGCCAAAAAAAAGTTTAAAATCTTTAATTTAGTTGAACATTGTGACAGAAATGAAATCACATCTACACGATGACAAGGATGACACAATAAAGTCCAAAGGGCCTATTTCCATTGTCATCCATGAAGACGGGAGATGTGTACTTGAAGGTGACAAGAAACATGGTGTCTAGTGCAGTGTTAGCTAACTTTTGTTATTGTTAGCTTGCCAGCCTTTTGCTGCTGTAACAGAAGTTTAAACGATGATGCTAAAGCAAAGTGGATTACTTGTTTTTACACTTAATTGGAATTATTCTACTAACAGAATGATGTATTTGAGTAAAGTATTAAAATCCAAGACTTATTTAACTTCTAACCACTCTACTCTTTGTCTCAAGAACACAATTTCAAAGAACCTGTGATTTTTCATGCATGTTTCATAATTGTAACCAACTAGCACCAGTTAATCAATGCAATATCTTACTAGTGTTCATTTAGTTAGTGTTAATGGCGGTGATAGAAAGGCAACTGTAGGTTAATTTCCCTAGGCGTCTGGTGAGAGCAGTCTCTACTGGCAGCTACAGTGATTTTCTTCACTACGATATCTTTATAATTTGCTTGCCAATGTTTCCCCCTTTCATCATAGAGCAAAATGCATCTGCAAGAAAAGGAAAGAATGATTCAACTCCTGCCAAGTTGATACAAAAAGGTCATACAAGAAAAATGCGAGAATTAAAACCCACATACCTCCCATATTTTCAATGCCATTCGCCATAGTTTCCAGCACCTGCAGAGTGGAAGCAAAATTATAAGTAAATTATGGGATGAAAACAGATGGGGAACAGACATGCATTTTGCAAACGAACAAGGACACCCACAGATCACAACCATTCTGTCCGTACCTTGATTTGACCGGACTTAACCCACTGACTGAGCTCACAGAGGGCAGCGTCTGCCTTGTTCATGTAGTTAAGCACCATAAATCGCTCCCGGCTGATGTTCTTACTTCGCAGGGTTTCCTTTATCTCCTCACTCAGGGGCGGAGGATACGGCACATCCTTGTTGTACTGGGAGATCTGCCCACACAGGATCACATGACCACCGTTGTTCATCTGGTGGTAAGGAAGCCAATGTGTCAGATATAACACACTAATTTTGCAAATATTGGCGGTACAATCAGGGAAACGGCAACAAACACCTCAGAATACACACATTTTGCTACTAAACATACAACAAATGGAAATAAAAGATCTACTACATTATGCTCTGCACAGACACAACTCAAGCAGTACCTGTGTGATTACAGTGTCACTGATGGCGCCTCCCACATTGTCAAAGTAAACATCTATCCCATCAGGGCAGCACTCCTTGAGCCTTGTATGGACGTCCTCTTGGTGGTAGTTGATGGCTGCAGAAAAGCCCAGGTCTTCCACTAAAGCTCTGCACTTGTCATTAGAACCGCAAATTCCAACCACTCTCACACAACCATCCAGCCTGCCAATCTGGAAAATAGACGGAGGTTGGAAATGATACATTTCCTTCACTTCCTTTTCTTTGTGATCTAATCTGTGTTTGGTAGCGTCTGTGGTTCGTTAGACTAGATCTGCTACCCTGTGTGTGTGTGTGCTATGTAAAAGTGATAGTTCCCACCAAACATCTTGCCTTTATCGTCCTTACATTTAATTATCTACTTTCATATTCATAAATTACAAAATAACTGTGAACTCAGTATATAAGTAAACGTGTAGAAACTCTACAAATGTACCTGTTTCCTTGCATGTTGCCAGTGTCTCAGATAGCTACAGCTGTATATAAGACATCAAAATCTTATTGGACCCAAATCTGAAATTTGCTGTATTTACCTGTCCAGCTATGGAGCCACAGGCCCCAGCTGCGCCACTCACCACCATGGTCTGATTGGCTCCTTTGGTCACATTACCCTTCTCCCTTACACCCAACAGTGCAGTGAGGCCTGTTATACCAACTGCTCCCAAAAAGTAGGACAGGTGCCCGTCAACCAACTGTGGATCAACCTGCAATAGACAGAAGGTAATATTATTCAGTCAGTATTTGCAGCAGGCTGTCTTTTCACATGCACTTTTAGTACATGCATGCATTTTAAACAGCAATATGCCACACCTTCTGTAAGACACTTCCTTTCATAACAGCATAGGTTTGCCACGGCCAGTTGAAAGAAGTGACCGCATCTCCTTCAGTGCAAGTGCTGCAGCGGCTGGACTCAACCACGCCAACACCTCCACCATCCACGCACTCAGACAGCTGCCATGGAGTCAAGTAATCAGCACCGGTGTCGTCATTCATTCTGCATCGCTGTGAAGCCAAGACAAAGATAAATGGGATTGATGGAGATGGGGAAGCTCTTCCTGCAGTTCCATGGTTGAGTCTTTGACATTTGCTGCCTAAACCTTTCTGTAGGACTAGTTGACTGTATATCACTTTGGTTGTGTAACTGCAGTGAGTCCTTGTTTTTTCACTTAACTTAACAGTAATGCATATTATGATCTGAAACATTGTTTTGTGGCTGCCAATATAGAATAGGAATATATATGTATGCATGTATTCTGATTGTATCAATACCATGTAAGGATCGACTGAGAGGTGAAGCGTACGAACGAGGACCTCCCCATCTTTCAACTCAGGTGTTAAAGTTATGTCCTCAAGGCGGAAATTTTCGGGAACTGGCGCCCCACTTCTACCTGTATATCAATGAGAAACGTTGCTTTGAGTCAACGTTAGCCACGCGGTGCAGTAACGTTGTAGCACAGGACGCTGTGCACTGAAAGGGCAATCTTCTGTTGTGGGAAAAAAAAAGAACACTAACTTTCCTACCTGGTCGTGAGTTGAGAACGACTCTCTGCACCTGCATCATTGAAAAGTAACGTTAGCCTCGATAAGTGCTACCTGAACTGATAAAGACCAGATTACAAACTTCAGGCTTTTGTGTGCGCTAAGGTCACAGTGTTGAAATGTGTTAAAAGCAACACGACAAAAATAGCTAAACACTGCATTTGCATTCCAGTACAGGCTCTTTCTGGTCTGTCTGAAGGCTAGCAGAAAGTCAACAGACCACATTCAGCGCACAGCGAGAGGATTCCCTGTTAACAACTTCCGTCTTCGTTTAAAACATGTCAGGCAGCTGGACCGATCTTTTTTAGCTGGGAGTTTGTTAGCTACTAGTGTTTGATTTCGTATGTATGTTTAAAACACACTTAATGACACAATTAGCTAAGGGCATCCCTTGTTACCCACTGTCCATAGATCTTTAAATTGTTTTTGTTTTTTTATGTTTAGCAGGCAGCCGTTTCATTTACGCATGTCTAGTAGGACATTGTTGAAATTATTTATTTGCTAACGTTAGCTAACATTAGCTGACATTTTTTGAATTATGTCAACGCTAATGTGAGGTTGTTATACGAAAGTGCGACATTACATGCCCAATGTTCCGGTGTAGTAGATGTTTACTATTTTGCCAGTGGTAGGTGGTCTTTTCCTAGGTGCAATTGTCGAGCCGTTAAGGCAGCTACGGCGAATCAGAAACGGTACGCGCCCTCAACAATCTGTTTTATTATTCCAGTTAATCAACACTGCAGATATTTAATATATACAGCTGTGAATTTAACTACATTTGCCAGTCGACGATGCCAATGCAACCGGTCCGTGTCTCATCAAAGATTACAAGCGCGGGTAGGTCCCATGCTAGCTAAAAGTGTTTGAAAGTGGAACTGGGAAGTGACGCCTTGTGGAGGAATCTGAAAAAAATAAAAGTTTATGGGCTTTAGTAAGTCGCTGCCGTTACACTAGCATATCGTCAACTTTAGCTGCAGCAGGGTACCATCAAAACGGGGAAATGATGACTCATGTGCCATGGAGGGACAGAGTTTAATGTAAGTAAGTTACTGTAAGGATATTCGCTTATGCATGCCATATGGTGCTAGGCGTTTTATTTACGTGGCAATTGATGGTTTAGTACGCTGTTATTAACCACATTAATGTGTTGTTTCTAGACAGCTAAAGTTAGCAGTAAGGAGCGGTTATGAACGTAGCTAGCCTCCACCCCCACCCCGGCACACACAAACGAAATGTCAAAATCCCAGAGGAAAGACACCCAGTGTACCGTTTAAAGAAAGTGTGTCACCTGTAGCTTGCACATGTTTGTATTAATGCCTGGTCTTCCTCTTACTGTGGTATCAGCATGGTCAGCAGAGTATACAGTGATATGCTGAGTTTGACAATCCCAGCCCTAAATAACAGAATCAGGATTGGTCAAGTATTATTTCACTGCTAGTCAATAGTAACATTTTAATACTTCAAAATTGCATCATATCTGAAATAGCTTCACCATTTTTGCCCTTGATTTTGTAAAAATGCATTTAAAAAGGAGGGATGGGAAAATACAGGATATTGGCTCCTTGTTCTGCAACTGTATTCTTTTCATTCATCCCTTAATCTGACAGTTTCTTGATTAAGAAAATGTAAGAATAAAAGGAAAAGTGCCTATCACAGTTTTCCTCAAATGGATTGTTTTGTCTTATCAACAGTCCAAAAAACCAAAGATATTCACTTTATAATGAAATAAAACAGAGGAATGTAACATGTCTTTATTTGGAGCTGCTAAATAATTTGCCATATTTGCTTGAAAGCTGACTTCTAATTTAATCAGTCTACTCATTTCAGCACTACTGGTATCAGCTTGGAAAAAAAAAAACATTGAGAAAAGGTTAACACAAATAAGCACAACACGTCATGTCAGTCTGATTAGACTTCTTGTCAACTGCATCTGTGAATGTTTTCAGGCTTTGCGCATTATTTTAAGGCCCAGAGAGCAGAGAGAGAGACTGGCAGAGAGACTACAGCCCTGCAGATTCTGGCCAGCACATGCCTGATCATATCCAACATCATTTACTAGCAGGCAGACAGTTTGACCTCCCATTATAACAGCCCCTTTTTTCACATTTCGACTTGTCATAGTGGGAAAAGCAAGTGTCACTAGTAACAGTAACGATGGCTCGGTTCTATTCAAGTGTGCCAGTAAGACTTGACAGTGAGCCAGCATGCACAACAGCTAAATGCAATTCAGCCATCATTAATTTCTATTGTTTACACCTGTGCTTTACCTTTTGTAGAATGCACTCTTGTGACATGTACAGTAGCTGCCACTTAAGTTTCTATTAATCCATAAATTGACTAATTGTTTCAGCTTTACAATAAATTATTAATAATGAATTAATCTGCAAATTCATTCAAGACTGCTTTTATGTGTTTGCTTCAGGGTCACCTTTTATCTAAGCTATCGCTTTATTTGTTTGACATTACATCACTGAGTTGGCCACAGATCGCCTTGCAACATTTGGGCATGGTTTAGGACTCGCTAGGTTTCATTTCATCCTGAAACTCATAAACACAGGCAGAAGTGTATACAGACAATACTTTTATTAGATTTTAATAGTATAACACATTGCTGTCTTCAATGGCAGCTCACAGCAAAGTCTAGCTAAACTATTCTTTTTATCTTGAAGGAGGCATTTTCATGGCAGACTGCTTTAACTTGACATAGCATGAAAAGTACATTAATGACTGCTCTGGCACCTGAATGAAATACAGATATAATTAATATTATTAACTACAGCTGTGCTTTTCCTGCCTTGAGATGTCAAAATATATGTTTTGAAACATGCCAATTTGGACGCCGTAATACTATTTGTGACTATTATAAGTGAGATGTTATGTCTTTCTCCTTGTTATTTAACAATATCCTGAATTTTAAAGCACAGAAGCCAGACATTCTCCTATTTAATGTGAGGATTTGCTGCTTATCTCTGTATTCTATCATTTTAAGTTGAATATCTTTTGAAATTTAAGAATACTGACATTTAAAGATGCCACTGTGAGCTCTGGAAAAAACAGTTCGACATTCCACAGACCAAATGATATGTCAAGAAAATAATCAGCAGATAAATCGATAATAAAAGTAATTGTTTGTTGCAGCCTCGCTTTATTCTTTGTGCTAAGTAACAATATAAAACTGGCTCCCTCCTTGCAAACACAATATCTTCCTTTTCTGTGTTTCTCTGTCTCAATATAAGGTGAATACTTGTGTGAATTTTGGCTGCTGGTAAGACTAAAAGTAAGCAGTTTACGTCAATTCAGGATCTGTTAATGTGTAATGGATATGTAGCTGCATTTCAATGCTTTTGACTTTTCTACTATTATTTGGAAAAGCTGACTTCATAATGAGAATATGCCTCATATAAACAAAAATGCATGTTTTATATTTTCCCACACTCTCTGGGACCTTTCTACAGCCAAGACACTGCTTGCTGTGTCATGGGCATTTTAATTAGATCTTCGTCAATAAAAATAAACAAAAACACGAAGTGTGGGACTTAAAAAGAAAAGTGAACGTAAAACGGGAGGGCAGCCGGGTGCGCCCTTCCCCTTCATCCCCGCGGTCCTCCCATGTGTGTTGGAATTTCCCGCATGGGCTGAGAGGGATCTTGCTTCGTAAATTACAGCGCCTTGTGCGCCGGAGGAAGGCCTTTTATGGGCATGGAAGTGGGTGTGGCCAGCGAGCTGGTGGATTGGGGAGGAGAAGGAGGAGGGGGTCACAAGACAAGCAGAGAGGCGAAGAGACTCGGATGTACGGCAAAAGGCCGCCGCATTGGCAGTGTGAGTTTTTTTGTGTGCAATCCTAGTGCAATAATGTGCAACAGACTGCGGCGGCATTGCGCTCGCGTTTCTGCAGATTAGCGCTGCGTGTCCTTACCGGGAAGGATTCTGATTACGCAGCGACGTCGACCCTATTTTCCTCTTGACTTCATAGCGGAGGGGTTGGTGTTGGTGAGAGGGGAGGAAAAAAGTACCAGCGAGGAGTGAGGTCAGCAGCATAGAATGAGTCAACCTCGGGGATGTATGCAGTCATCATCGCGGGTCTGTGTTGTGCGGGCCTACTGGCCGCGCAGAGCTGCGAGTGTGCGACCCTGCGGGCTCAGCTGCCGCTGGTAGCAGCTTTCATGACAAACAGTGAGTATCGGGACAGACAAGGGCTCGAGCCTCGGTGACTGTGGCGTTGTTGTTGTTGTTGCCGACAGTGCATGTTGTTGTGGCCGCAGCTTGCTGACAAAGTTTTGTTTACCTCGCCGAGACGAGCTTGGCGCTCACTGCTATAATTCGATCGCTCGTCTGTAGGTTTTTTTTTTGTCTCATGTCTCAATCAAAGCGGATTGACTGCACTAAGAGAGATGCATGTGACGTATTAAGCTCCCTGACAAGTTGAATTGATCCGTGGTGATTGGTTTATTAGCTGTGCCACCACACTTTGTTCATACGGGCTGCATTGTTGCCTCGGTTTGTTGCAACGGGACATGGCATTAGTGAAGTGGATAATCCGTTTCCTGCAACAAAGCGTTTCTCGTAAATAACGCTGAGCTGGCTGGCAACAGAAAGTGATGTGGAGGGACGGCAGGGGGGGCTAGAAGAGGTAGAGTCCTGTGGTGGAAGTGGCATGTTTTACTTCATATGTAGTCTTTATTTTTCGTCTCTTGCACGCTGCAGGCCTCGCGTGCCCGCTGGTGCGCGATCCGTGCCACACTGACTGATTTAAATTAGGAAACAGCGATGGATTAGGGCGGCTAATGGTGCTTGACATTTATATTAAGCCAATTTAACGTGCTACTTTGTTTACAGGCTTGTGTAAGGTTGCACTTGTGATGCGTCACGATGATCCCTCACCTCAGCAGGCGTGTTTGTTTAATGCACAGCGACTGCTCTCACAGCGTGGTCGCTCAGTTATCAACGGCTATATTTCTGCTCCAAAGCAGGTCATTCTGATTTATTTACGTGCACCTATTCAAAGACGATGTTTCATAGGATTCGACAACATGGCTATAGGCATGTGCACCATCACATGGCCTTGCTGGTGCACACACTGCTGTTTGTTAGGCCACACTGCGTGGTCATTCAGCTTCCCCAGTCAGTGGTGCCCCTGAGCCAGTGCAAGATCTGAACAGCTGCAGCCAGTCTTAAAATAGAAGCTTGTGTTTTACTAGGCCACCAGAGTAAAGGGTGATGATTGCAAGTCACTTCCTATGAAAGATGGCCTTTGCCAAGTCCATGTTGTAGAAATTCTGGTATTAATTTATGTAATCAGCCTGACAAATTGTTGTTTTGTAATGTGAGTCCTGCAGCAGGCAAGCGCTTTGATAATGGTGATCCTTGCAGCAATAAAAAGTCTTTAGATTTGTGACTGCGGCACAAAAGTGACAAGTTTATTTTTATACAGATAGAGCAAAGATTGAAATTGTAACAGAAACATTCGGGATCTGCTTGCATCTTGTAATTTGGCAAACTGCATTGTGTCAAAATCTGCTCCCAAACCTTGCTGTGAGATAATACTTTTGATAATCATCACAGGTTTCCATGGCAATTATCAGGATCCCCTACAAGCTATCAAAGCCCTGCAAGGCCATTTTGACTTTTTCCCTGCTCTCTTTTCCCTCGCGTACGTGGTGTCATCATGACTCATTCCTGCTCACTTTCAGTTGTCCTTCCTTTTTTGAGTCTGCAGCCATGGTTCAAAGGGCATGGGTTCCCTTTTTTGTTTGCTTCTGACGAGTTGCACAGTAAAAAAATAGAGTGGTATCTTTCTGTCACGTTCAGCATGCTCTCTCTTCTGGTAGTTTGGCAGGAAGGCAAGCTTACTTTGTGTTGCGGGTCAGTCGAGCCATGAGGGCTTTGTGTTGGAAGTTGTAAGTGAGCTGTGGTCTTTTTTTTTTCAGTAGTGATCTTTTTTTTTTTTTTTTTAATTGCCTTCATGTCCTCTGGTGCAGTAATATTCTTTAATGACATTTCCTGGAGCTATTGATTTAGCTATCTCTTAACAGCTGAAGTTCCAGTAGTATATGCAGGTCAGGTATACGTGTTTGCATGCAGAACCTTATCCCTTTGTCACGTGAGCTTAGCGAATAATGACACAGTTTAGACCTACCCCTCCTCTCCCCATTCCATCATCCGATCTATTGTTGAAAAAGCAAACGGCATGCTTTTACATGGCTAAGGTGGGATAATAATGAGACCCCCCCCCCCCCCCCCCCCGTTTGGACCCCCTTAGTCTGATTGCTCAATGCTTGACCCCTCTCTCATTTTATCTATACAGGGTGTTCCCATGAATGAGAAAAACAAAGACTTCTTCAGATCTGCTCACCCCAGGCCGGCGACCTCTAAGTTGGTCACAAAGAACTTCAGAGAAGAGAAGATTATCTTGCTACTGCGCACATTGATGTCTATGTAGTTTTACAGCTTAATTTTACTGCAGGTACCCTTTAATTCTGCAGGTACCCTTTAATTTTGCTATATTCAAGTGGAACCCAGTGGTGCATTAATAGCTGGTTTCGTTGAAAATATTCTCCTGGCTCGGCTTATTCATGCCCGTCATGAGTGTACCAGCTCAACAGAAACCCAGCACCAAAAGAACAGGCAAACGCATCACATTTTTCAGCGAACAAGGCGTAGCAATGAAGGAGACTCCTCAGCACCCTGAGGGGTCCTACTATGTCCCAGGCGGCACTGCCACAGATCCCGGCCAGAGTGAGGCTGCAAGTACTGTGACCTCCAATCCACAGGGCACTCACATGTATCTCAACTCTGTCATCTTCAGCCCAGACAAGGGTGACCAGAGCAGGGGTCATTATCAGCAGACTGTGCCTATGAAGTGGGCCCACCAGGAGCCCAGTCAGCAGCAGCCATCTCTGTCCCAGCAGCAGAGAGCTGCCTCCTGGAATACCATGACGAACTGGGGACAAAACATTAATTACATTGGAGGAGTTAACGTAACAGACTCAAGGACCCAGAATGCATTTGTGAAGTCGATTCATGAGACTTCTGGCTTGCAGCCACATCAACAACCCCCTAACAGAGCTGCAGACAAGCAGCCTCTAGGGCCTAACTCTGCAGTTGAAGCATACAGGGATGCAGTTCATGCTCGGGGAATGGATTGGGAGCAGCAGCAGCCGTCACAGGCCTTTCAGGAGACCCTAAAACCCGGGGCGCTGAACACCCAGCAGCACAGCACATCACTCCCAGGAGGAAGCTCAGTCTTGCAGCCCTTCCAGCTGGCCTTTGGTCAGCCCAAGCAGCACCTGCCAGCCTACTACCAAACCTTTCAAGGCAACAGGACAACCCTACCGAACCCACCTATGTACTCAACTCAAGCCCCAAAACCCCCACAACAGTACACAATACAACGTCAGCAACAGCAACATATACTCCAGCAGCAAATTCAGCAGCAGCACCATCAACAAATGCAGCAACAACAAATCATTCAGCATCAACATGTACAGCTACAGCAGCAGCAACAAATACAGCATGAGCAGCAGCAACAAAAGCTGCAGCAGCAGCAGCAGCAGCTCCAAATTCAGCAGCAAATGCAACATCAGCAGTTGCAACAACAAAACCCTCATGTGCTTGACTATTACCCCGCTGCACAAAATGCACACCCTCATCCACATCCACAGCCTGTGGTGGTACACTCCCAGGAGTCCTCTGCTACAGCTCCCCCAAAGATCCAGGAACCAATTATCCAGGACATCACCCCAGAACCCCAGCAGCCTTCAGAGCCACTGCAGCCCCCTCTCCAGTCTGAGCCCCTGTCCCAGTCCCATACCCAGACACAACTCCACTCCCAAACGCAGCTTCGCAGATCACGACGACTCTCCAAGGAAGGCGGTGCGCCGTCCGACAACCCTTTTCTCTCCGTCGCTTCAGATCAGGCTGCTCCGGGACCACAGGGCTCCCAGAACGGGGCTCGTGAAATCCAGGCAGCGCCGACTGGCGTCATCCAGAGCACGCGCCGGAAACGCAGGGTGTCCCAGGAGGTCAACTTGGAGACCCTTGCTCAGAAGGCCTCGGAAATGGAGTCTCTACCATCACATGTTGTAAAGGTAAGTGCTCAGTTTAAATTTTGACATTGTCAAATTGTTTCGACCATTCTTCTTTCTTGGTTTCTTTTGAATTTTTTCACTCCCATGCCTTTCCCTTTCTGGTCTTTCTGTTTTCCATGTCCTTTTGCTCACTCATCTGTTTCTCAGCTGTTTCCCCTCAAGCAAAAGAACCGCAGAAATAAGCTTTAACAGAAGGGGACTGGATGTTCTGAATCCTGATGATTGCATTGCAATGTATATCTGAATTTGTCACTGGAAGCTTTAATTGTGAATATTTCGGCGAAAGCAAAAAATCTATTTTTCTAGCGTTATCCCAGGGTTTAATTGCAGTGGGAATTTAGCTCCCCGAACAAGAGCGGGAACTGGAACAAACGGCCTAAAGCAACTGCCAGGAAAACTGTGCCAAAACTTGTCTTGTTTGTGATTAACGTGTTGCTGGAAGTGATGCTGAATGTAATTGACGCCCAGCAAAGTATACAGCACAGAACTGAGCTGCTCAGCTAAAACAAGACTTTGCTATGTGAAAATTATAACAAGGTAAATACAGTATCAGAAACGGCTTCATATATGACTTTGCAGCTCTCAGATGTCGGTGAACAAACCTGGAAAATTACCCTGACTGTAACATGTGAAGTCATACACTTGTCTATCTCTGTTTATGTGCTGAATGTCTTGGTTGTGCAACAAGTTCTGTTGCCAAACAGCACTGAGCCAGTATGTCTGTAGTTCAGCATGACTGTGCCCTGGATTCGCCTCACGGGTAGCTTATCATACAGTGTTTTTGGTTACATGCCTGCACACCTCCCCCCCAATCCCATCAAAGGAGAGAAACTCCAGCCTGGCCTCGCCTGCCCTCCCCCTCTCCACCGATACAGGGAGAGGTGCAGAGTTGCCCTGCCTGCAGTGCTCAGCAGAATATATCTCTCCACCGCTCTGGTGTAGGGGCTGGAGTTTTCCACCAGCAATAATGAGCACGGATCCTGCGTAGCCACACTGCTGCATGCCTCTCTGCTCATGAAGATGCAGCGTGCAGTGACAGAATGCATCTGTCTTCAACTGGCCTGTGATGTGGTGTTTTAGATGGCTTTGAAGTTTCTCCAGAGTCGATCGTTGCTCTAAAGCACACAGGCCCACATTCATTATGGTTTCTAAAAGGAAAAAAAATGTGAAGAATGCTTTTGGGGACAGTTCGTTTTGACGTGTATGTAAGGTCTGTCACTTAAGTGCTGCACCTAACAGTACTGTATCAAGGTGCACATGGACAAAATGCTTTCACTGAAATATCTGAGACAGGGTCAGATTTTACATTCTATCCTCTGGATTTTTTTGGGGGGGGGGTTTAATGCTTATTTTTCACAGCAGTTCCTTGATTGTGTTGGGATTCTGTCACTTAGGAATACACCTCAGGCTTGTTTAATGCTACATCGACTTATCTGTGAACACTCCATCTGAGTATTGGCAGTATTTTCTCTTTTTATTGAATTTGGTTTTTGTGTCAATTTGACAATTTGCCCAGTTGAATTAACAGCCACCCATGTCAATTTTAGTTGTGCTATCGTGTGGAAAGCTGCACAGCTAAGCTACAGTTACTGAAGTTGTTGGGGGTGTAGGGGTGATTGCGTAGTGCACTGTATCAGCTAAGCAAGTTGATTTTACTACTTCAATTTCACATGTTGCAACAGGGGCCTCTTTAGCAAGCAACAACAGGACAAAGTTGTCTTTGATTTTTGCTTCAAAACAGTCTTCTAACTAATTGTAGCCCAGTTTGAGGAGTTAAAACATCGACATTACATCCTTGAGGCGTGTAAAGCATGTAATGTCGATGTTTTGGATAGGGCTGCAACTAACCATTATTTTGTATTATTGATCATTCAGACTATTATTTTCTGGATGAATCGTTTGGCCTATTATGATTTCCTTAAGGCTAAGTTAACATTCGCATAGCTTGTTTAGGTATCCCGTTTTCAATCATAGAAAACAGCGAATATTTTTTTGCTTAAAAATAGACTTAATCATGACTCGATCAAATTTGCTGCCGATACACAGCTCTAGTTTACTGTCTACAATTTTGCACTGTGCAAGCAATGTGTTTGGGTATGCTCTTGATGTCTTGTAATAAGGAGAAATCAGTTTATAAGTAGCATTGTAATACCTCAATCAACTGTCTTTATTAGGAGCCCCACAGGCCGTGGAGTCCAACTGACTCGGAGGGAATGAACACCAAGCGGCATCGAGACGACAGCCTCCTTCCACTTGTCATCCCTGTCTCTGTTCCAGTGCGAAGGCAGGAAGCTTCCTCTCCTGACAGAGATGAAGGAGCCCTGGCCTCCAACTGGCCCTCCAGGCCTTCGAACCCCCAGGACCTTTGCCACGCCGACCACAAGCCCTCTGTCATCGTCACCAGGAGACGCTCACTCAGGAACTCCTTGTCGGAGAGCTCAGAGCAGGTGGGTACATATTCATTCCTTGCTGCTTTGTGTATTTTTTTTTGCACTTGGTTTAATGCCATTTTTTATTTTTATACTTAAACATACATTATTTGTTCAACTGTCAGAATTAATTTTACAGAGAATAGGGAGGTAGTCGGGTGGTGTTCCACTGTTATCATCGGTCTGTTTTCAGTTAAACACCAGCTATTAAATCCTTGCATTTGTGCCATATCGCCCTGTTAAAACACACTCCCTTCCCCCCACCATGCTCCATGTCTCCCCTGCCCCCATTTCAGTCATCCACACTTTGCTTCCTTTCCCTGTTACATATGAGGGGAATTGGTAAACTGGTTGTCCTGTCCCAGATCAAGCAGATTATCTTTAGGGTTTAGCTCTGCCACACTGTACATTATGTACCATACAGTTATGGGATGCCTTGTTCTTTCTCTGTATAAATACACACAAAAAAACTGTTGTTGAGTGTATGTTATGTTCAAATTTAACACACTAGACTAATTTAACACAGACTCCTCTGATAAATCTACCTCTTAAAATGTTTTCTCCCTCACCAGAATGGAGGTACTGAAGGAGAAAAAGACGATGACAATAAAAAGTCCAAACGGCGTCCCCGGCCCGAGCCTCTTTTCATCCCACCCCCTAAACCTGGTTTATTCATCGCCCCTCCTGTCTACTCCAGCATCACGCCCTACCAGAGCCACCTACGTTCCCCCGTTCGCCTCGCTGACAACCCCCTCACGATGCCTCCCTACACACCTCCGCCAATCCTCAGCCCTGTTCGCGAAGGCTCTGGCCTCTACTTCTCCACTTTCCTTTCCTCTGCTGCAGCTAACACCCAGGGTCTGCCACCTCCCGCAACACCCAAGTCGGCAACACGCAGCCTGTTGCGCTCCAGTAAGTAATAAAAAAGATAAGAACATTTCAGAAAGATAAGACTCCCCTGATTTATCCAGAGCACATCTAAACTGTAGGAACAGGAAGCTCTGGGCATTTGTGATAAGCATCTGGCTTATAATCTATTATCAGACTTTATTTATCCTATGATTCATACCTAATGAATGTTAGAAGTAAGCCTGCCTGAATGGCCCTCTGTTCTTGTTTTTAACAAGTTTAAGTGAATCTAGATACAACTCTTGTGATCACGACAGAAACCTTTTTGATAGTATCACTGAGTGGATTTTGATTTGCTGCTCTCCTTTAGACAGCTGCGACATCACACCACCAGTTCTGTCTGCTATGAGCGAGGCCACTCCTGTCAGCATAGAGCCGTGAGTATTTCCCCCTCCTGTACATCGCCTCCAAAACATCTTCTTTCATTGTGGAAAGGGCAGGTTGGGGTTTGTGGGTCAATTTCAAAGAAAGGATTTTGGGAACTCAGCGTGAATTATCATAGCTGGAGTTGGTAGTTCTGTAACGAATTATTAAGGCCATAGCACTGGCCTGAATCATGAAATGTCTTGAAAGGGAACACAGACTTCTTGAAATTCTAAACCCATCTTTTTTTAAAGCGGCACATCCTCTCCGCCACTGTTACCACTGGAATCTTCTGCCCTGTCATCCACTGCTAGCATACGTTCCAGCATTTGCCTTCTGATCTAACTATGCAGTCTAATGTATCTCTCAATAAAAGAGCATCACGTCATAACAACTCCATTTTAACTGAAACTAACAGCAGTAAGGACATCAGAAGCCTGTGTTCTTTAACGTACATGCACAGAGAATGTAGTTTAGGTTATTCAAGTAACCTTCAGTGTGATATGCAAGTGTAACATAACATGGCTGGAAATTGTTTAGAATGGGCAGATAATTGGAGTTTAACAATATAGCGTTTGTGGCTTTTGTTGATATTAATGTTGTAATCCTTAAGATTTCGGTCTGGGTTGATTTTGTGGGGGGGCACCCATGGTTACCGTGGTAACAGCAACTGCAGTTAATACTACAGCAAACACTCGTTGAGCATCTACTTCTGTCAGAAATACAGAAGAGCAACAGGTGCAAACAAGCAGACATCACATTGTGTTAGTAAAGAAGTCAGTCAATAAAAAAACTGCAACCTGAAACCTGATGCTAATGTTTGATAACCAGTTGTGGTTACTGCTAACCTTGGTGACAGATATATAGCATTTTCCTGTGGCGCCATCACAATAAAAGCCTGTGTTTCACAAGTTGAATACTTTAAATGTGGCAGCAGCAGTAGGATGTTCCATTTGCATTAACAGTAAGGTAATTCAGCTCTGTGTAAAAACAGTAAGCAGTGAGGCTTATATCAATGAGATAAAATTACGCTGGATTATATGCTGCATTGTCTCCTGTCAATCCAACATACTTAGTTAGGGAGGCAATCTGAATCCAGCGCAGGAATGGCGAACTCCACCGCTAACAATAAAAAGTACTATACAGAGAGATAATTACTGAATGTAAACACGAAGAATGGCTATTGCGGAAATATACTGACTAAAAATGGGGTTTGATTTCATGACATAATTTTATTATAACTTCCATAAACATGTTAGGGTTCTCCAGTCAGTGACATTGACCAGTGCCATTGGCATTGACCTAGAGTTGGTCCCTGGGCACTGCACAGTGGCTGCCCACTGTACAGCTGAGGGATGGGTTAAATGCAGAGAAGGAACTTCACTACATGTATTTGTATGCGATAATAAAATACTTTTAACTTCTTCTTAGGTAAACAGTATGTCAACAGTGCACGTTAACAACCTGAACCAAATAAGACCTTCAGCAGAATATGGCCAACAGCCATGTTACTCCATAAACGTAAACACAGCAATTGATAGCTTGGATGTTTAAGAAAATTAGAGCAACAGAGAAAGGGAACCTGTAAGGACACAAGACTTAAGTTTAACCCTTAAACTATTAGTCTAGGATTGTTTTATGTAGTTGCACCAACAGTGAGTTGCAGTTTATAGGGGTGCATTGTGCAAGCTGTTCAGCAGTCAGGGACAAGTCAGTGACATTTCCCATTAATCATGAGATTTGAGCTTGGTGTACTCCCAAACAAACCAGAGCCATCACAGTTGAACTTTCAGCAGCCCACCTTCCCAGGGGGAGGCTGCCAGAATACACACACACACTCAGCTGGAAATACTGCAGGCCCACTGGAAAGGCAGGGGAGGGAGAGTGCATGCTTCAACAGGATTGTCTGTGAATGTACCACAGCACAATATACAACTATAGCACTGAGGTATCTGGTCTCAGTTGACATGTCAGACTACATAGATGAATGCATTTGTTGGATTATGAGCCTTTATTCCTACTTGAACATGACCTTTGTCCCACAGCAGAATGAGGATCCATTTACTTTCGGTTCAGTGATTTTACGAAGTGCACTCTGTTTTAACATACAAATTTTTGAAAGGAATTTGCATTTTATTCATTATGCTGAAAGCACAAGAGAGCTGTGTAACAAGCTTGAATTCAAAACAGTGCAAGGACTGCGGCGCTCTCAGCCTGAGTGCCTCAACAATCTTCCTGTGACTATTTATAGATCATGGCCAAAAGAAAAGCCAAGAAATCAAAATATGATCTCAGAGATAAAACAAGAGCTTTACTCTTAAGATATCTGATATTGATACACTATGCCTTGACTGAAATATTTAAGAGTAAATAGATACCACTTGACAGCAAAGGCTGTTGATGAATTTTGAATAGATCAAATTCAAAACGTTTGTCACTCACACGGCTGTCCTGTTCCCAGACGGATAAACATTGGGTCACGGTACCAGGCGGAGGTGCCAGAGCTGAGGCAGCGGTCAGCTGTGGAGCTCGATCATCATCGAGCGGAGATGGTCTGGGCTCCACTTGGTGAACTGGAGGAAAAACCTGACTTTCAGGAGAAAGGTAAGAAAAGTACCAAATACAGTATTTCATATTTTACATCACCTGAAACTGAAAGCATAAATACTGGCAGACTGATTGTAAGAGCAGGATTTGTTGACTTTCATAGGAGGTGGTGAACAAGTAGATTCCAATTATTTACTCTTAAGCTTCATTTTTGAATGATGTTTTCATATATAAATGCTCCGTATTTGTATAGCACCTTTCACACTACATCACATTCATTCATACACTGAGCCTAAGTGCTCAAACAGAAACTAACATTCATACACATTCATACTGGTGGAACAGCCACCAGGGGCAATTCGGGGTTCAGTATCTTGCCCAAGGACACTTCGACATGTAGCTGGAGGAGCCGGGTATGGAACCGCCGACCTTCCGATAAATGGGCAACCCGCTCTACCTTCTTTTTTCTTAAAACTTCAGGCGGAAGTCTGTCATTACCCTGTCACTCTGTTATGTCCTTGTTTCTGAAATACAGAAGTAACTTTCTGTTATTTCCACTTTGAATAGAGTGTGTTCAATAATTCACCATGAAGCTTTTGCAATTTAGGATGTCTCAAGCAGCAAATTATTTCTTAATTTCGCCTATATTACATTTAGGTACTTGCATTTTCAGTGAGAAGATTCAGTCAGCAGTTTTAACTTTCCAGATACCACTGTATATGACGCAATATAGACTGTTTGTTTTGGCTGCTGATCCTGCATAATTAAAAATAAACAACATAATAAAACTATGCACATGATCCTGTTAAATGTTTTTAAAAAATTATCCTCTAATTACAGGTTTTTGACGTTCATTCTTACAAGCTTAAGAAAATATTGTCACCAGTGTATGCAAAATAACAATTAAAAAAGAATAGTTTTTTTCTCTGCTGCTCACAGTCACACTCTTTGTTTCAGTGGAAGACCTCATGCACCTGGCCTGCTCCAGTGTTTTCTGTGGAGGAGGCACAAACCAGGAGTTAGCCCACCATTGTCTGTATGAGTGCAAAGGGGACATAATGGTGAGCACAACAGAACAATCCACATTGACTGACAAGGCAGAGATTTCCACACTTTAATAGAAAGATGAGCTGAGTTGTGCACTGTGTGGACTCGAGTCAGGTTCTCTTCCCTTAAAGATTGCCTTGACACATAGAAAGTGCAAAACCTGTATTCATATTAAACAGGTGGTATTATGGTTTTTGGATTTTTCCCTCTCCTTTATTGAGTAATATATATTTTAGACTCTATATATATATATTTTTTTTTTTTGTTGGTTTGCAAAGTGAAAAAGCCCAAAGTCCACCCCAAAGGGAGTTTCCATCTCCCACAGAAAACACTGCTCTGAACTGCCTGAAAACAGCTTGTTTGTAGTCCAGCCTTTACTTCCCTTTCTTGTGATGTCACAATGAAAATACGTGTCGTCATGCTCGCTGAGCGATTAGTCCGACACGCCCTCACAACGCCGGTGGAAAAACAGTGAGCTGCAGCACACCTCTCCTCTCCCTTCCAAACACTAGCTACCCTTCAAGCAGTCAGTGGACATGAAGTTGTTACTGTGATGTAGAGACAGAGCTCAGTTATAACTTTATGGATGAAAGATACTTTTGTTACAGATTAATAAATCACCACTCTGAAACTCTTGCTCTAGTCCATATTGCCAAGCTGGTCGGCAACATGTAGCCTACAGCTGAATCAAAGCTGTTTACGTCTTTTCGCTGACCCGCCTTTCTCTGCTTCTGATTGGCTAGTAGTCCTTAACTAGGAACTGTGCATGTGCAACTCCCAATAAAGATCATATAGAGACAAGATGTATCACTCCATAGCTAAAACGAAGCCTTCAACACAGGGTGAACAGAGGAGCTGCAGCAATGTGCAGTATGAGAAAGAGAAAAAATATATATATAAATATGGTGGTTTTTGAAAATTAAACCATGTAAACCTGTTCTGGTACAACCTCTAAATAGGCTTTTGAACCTGAAAATGAGCACAATACCACCTCTTTAAAATTTGAGGCCATCTTTTTTTTTTTTTTTAATAATTGAACAAACAAAAATGGATCATGGTATTTTTTTGCAGTAGTGGGTTTAAGTTGTAAATCATTTTGAAATTGAATAATTTATTATTCCTTTAAAAGCATTAGCATTCCTGTGAGTGAAAGAAAATGTAAAGCTTTATGCACAGGCCACACATAATTATATGAATTATTTCCATGGTAGCATTAATAGAATTTATGACTAGTCTTTGATGCTGCACAGAAGCAGATTACAGCAATTAATCAGATTGTTTATATGAAGTTAAGTAACTGGGTTAAATTATTTAGTAGTAGTAGTAGTATGGGCTTTTGTACTAATTGTGATATAAACCAAAAGCCCGTTTTTCTTTATTGGGGTAATAAAAAATGCATTTCTTGTGAAACGTAATTTATAGGTCTTATCAACCCTTAAACTTGTTCTAACAGTTTTTATATAAGTGCAAATGCATGACAAAGACTTTGGATAGTGGTGTTGTGTCAGTAGTGAGGTGGGATTAAGAAAACACCATTATTCAAAATGGTGCGTCTTTGTATCCAAAATAATTAAATCCAAAGTCCAACCAGGACAAACGCATGTCACAATGTAGCTTGATATCTCACTAATACACTGAAAATATGCCAGGTTTAGTTCAAAACACATTGCAGGTAGGAGAGTAAAAATGTGATTACTGACCAGCTGCATGTTAATGCAGTAATCAGGTTTGTTGCAGTGCACATATATGCGTTCTCCATTTCCTGTGTTAACCTGATATCTTCCACTAACCTGGTTTCTTTTGTGCATGTAAATGTAGTGATTGAGAGCTCAGATGAAGGCATTCAGTGATTATTGAAAGGAAGTGACTGATCTGTAGACTTTCAGTATTCTATGCACTGAAACTCTGTGGTGGCCTGAGATGACAGAGATAGTAAAACCGTTTGGTTTTTTAGCCAGGGTTTGAGTGATGCCACTGTGAAGAGCAGAAGAGCTACACATGCTATCAGAGAGGTGTGATTCATAGGGTTAACTATAGGGCTGAAACAACATGTCGATTTGATGGAAAATTAAACAGCAGCTTAATTGATTTAAAATTTCTGTTTTATTTATGTGTTGCAGCCAAGTTTGATCTTGTTTTGTCCTGAGATCATTGCAAATACAGAAAGCAAAAGGTCAGGGCTTCACTCAGTATTATGGAGGAAAAATATTTATACAGAATGCATGTTGTAATTATATTTGGTTTTCATATACATGGTCAGGTTTACACATATCTCCTTGTAGCAACTTGAACAACCAGACAAAACCTCAAAGGGCATAAATATGCCCAAGGAAGTTCAGTAAAAAGTCAGCGTTTAGGAGCTTGCAAGTGTCTCAGAGAAATCTGACTAGTCAGATGGACGCTCCATACTATCCTGCAGCAATGATACATCCTGTCTCACACCTACTGCATCACTGTTGGACCACTAATTACATGAGAGCTTATCATCGGGGCTAGTTCAGCTTGCAGTGCAGATATCCAAGGATGTAAACTCATCGAGCACAGCTAGAGCTCATCCTTGACCACTACCTAAAATTGCTATTTTAAAGCACTTTGCCACGTTCAAATAAAACATACCGTGGCATAATAAATCTGTCATACCACTGATTAAAATTTTATCAAAAAAAGGAGCAGCGTGCTCCGTGCTGGGTGCGGTAATGAGGCCAAACAACGGTTACTGCTGAACGTTATGAGGCGGCATCTAAAGTGGCTCTTTCCTTGTCACATCACCCCCCCTTGAAATACCAACTGTAGAGGATACGGTCATTTACGATCATTACTAGTATTTAAGAGAATTAAACAGAAAGGAGCAGAGGGAAGGTCCCCCTCAGTTAGGCCTTATGTCCCTCAAAATAAATAAGCCCTCGGGCCAACAGTGGCCTTTATGCCTTTATTTTGCATTTTTCTCCTCTGCTTCGTTCCCGTCAAACGGTTTTGTAGACACCAGTGTTCAGAGACTTAAACAGCTATCCTTAATCACTACCTCCATTATTGAAGATGTTAAAGAAGGAGTTATCTGGCAGACTGATGCAGAGTCATTGCCTTGTGGTAGTACTGGTGGAGCTTTCAGGCCCCAGCACTGGTTTAACGTTGTCAAGGAAACTACGAGGAGGGCGGAGGGATGGGTTGGGGGGTGTCAAAGCGCCCACTCTTTGCAGCAGCAGTCCGGCTCAAACTGCCGTCCTTCAACATTCATGCACAAGTCTGATGTTTTTTCCTCAAAGTGCACAAAGTTTATTCTTATTTTGACAATGGCAGAGAGAGTATAATCATGATATAATGTACGCTGGTACCTGATACATGCAGGAAAAAACGATGGTTATCTCTCTGCCTGGATACCTGTAAGCAGCGTTGTTTGTCTCTGTGTGTTTACAGGGTTTATATAGCACAAATGGAGTACCTAATGGAGTGATTTCTTTCTTCTGCCAAGAAAGCTGACTCTGTATAAAGAATAAGAAATCTGTGCAGCTAATTTTGCCATGTTTGTCACTTACAGTGTTACAATGTTTGTTTCTCAGGCTGCTCTGTCCCTCCTAATGCTGAGGAATCCAATTTTCCCAAAGTCTCATCATCTGGCGAACTACCACTACTCTGGTAAGTCATACAGAAATGTATTTGTATCTAGCATTTGTTCGTATTTCAATAGGATTTTAAAGTGGAAAACCTTAAGATTTCAATTTTGCGAGATCGACTCACTGCAATGTGTTGTAATACTAAAGACCCAGAATTCTGGGGGCAACAAAAACAATTGTTGTTTTACTAAAGAAGACAAAAATTGGCCTTTTCCCGTCATTCTGTGAGCAACCGTGATCTGATTTTATGCTGCTCGTGGCACGAGTCTATGAACAGGGCATAGTGAAAGGAGTTGGTTACCTTGCTGAGAAGTTGGAAGTGTGCAGCCTGTCCCCTGCAGCTCTTGGTCTAACAACCCACTGTGGCTGCTCCTGACTGGCCCGTTACTCCCTGCAATATTTCAAACTGATCCACTGTCAGCAAATACAGAAAATGGCCGTTCCTTATGAACAATAGCAGCCAGTGCTAAGCTCACTGACACGTTGCATTTCTTGCGATTACTTCATAATAAAGACAACTCGTGTTTCGCCAGATAACTGCTTTAAATGTGAAGCTGCAGGAGATATTTAATTTCTATTAGCAGTAGCTTAAAAACATTTCTGGGTATGTTGCTAGCCACACCCAATTCAAATATATAATATTGCAATACTTTCATCAGTGGGCCATAGGCTTATTCAACATTGTGGTAGTTGTGATAGTGACTTAACAGAGATTTATTTAAATAAAAATCTTCGAGTTTGCTGCTCTTACTCTGTTTTTACCTACTATAATACACAGATGTTATTTACTTATGGCTGAAACAAATGGTTGATTCGTTGATCAACAGAAAGTCACCTATTTTGATAATCAAAAAAGTGTTTCCACTTCTCAGTTGGGAGGATTCGGTGTTTCTTGGGGGATTTATACCGCTGAGCAAAACAAGCTATTTGAACATCTTTTAGGTTTCAGGAAATGGTCAAAACCTAACAGTTATTTTTCATCATTTCCTGATATTTTCTGGGTTAATTGATTAACAGAGAAAATAGAAGGCAAGTCAAGAACATTATCATTAATTGCAGCCCTAGATTTACTGCACCAACAAGGTTCTGTCTAAGAAAGTTGACTAAATTGATTCTGAAAGAATTGTCTGGTGTCCATTATTGCCTTATCTGATAAACCCTACACAGCTGGTATTCAGACACTCAAAACAAATGCTCATAATTAGTTGAAAATCCAGATTTCAGCCGAGATGAATTCTGAATAAGTGTATGTTTGTGCATTTTCCTCCACTACTTCTTTTTTTTCAATCCAACAGCCCTTTCCTCACAGCAATGGCAGCTGCAGTAGTGAGAGTGTCAGGGTTGTGTCGGAGGGGGTAGTGGGTGACTGGAGGATTGACAGGGTCAACGCGATGAGGGAAGAAGGGGAGTAGGGGAGTAAGGAGGGGCTTTACAGCATGTGGTTAATCCCAAGCAGAAGACAGGAGAGCCATTGTTTATCGAGTGATTTGAGTGTGTGTTTGTGTGTGTGGGGTTTAAGGGTGGGGGTGTGGGATTGAACTTGTCTGGGTCTCCACACATTCAGAGTATAGTCTGGAAGCAGATTCTTGTTGAGTGTGTAAAGTCTTTTAAACTGGCCATTAAAATGCTGGATCTCTTTAAATGCCTCTTTCTCTCTTTCTACCTATCCTCCTTCCCCCCCCACCTCCTCAGGATCAGACAGCTGGACTGCAGCTGAGAGACGCCAGTTCAACAAAGGCATCACTACATACAAGAAGGATTTCTTCATGGTGCAGAAACAGGTATGTTGTGGTTTCAAACATAAAAGCAGGAAAATAAAAACTCTTAATCCTACTCTAGGCCACATAGTAGTGTGCGGTAGTGTGGGAGAGCTGATTCTATCTCCTCCACTAACAGTTTAAAGCCCCCCCCCCCCCCCCCCCCCAAAAAAAACCAGTGAGCACACAATATTTTTCCTGACTGTGGGTGGGGAAAGGGAAGCACTCCAGTCAGTCTGGAACAATGTTTCCTTCTTGTTTAATTATTTGCAGTGTCACGGACAATTATTGCTTTCCCACAAGACTGCAAAACTATTTAATTTTCTTGTCTTAACCACTTCACTGATCAAGGGTGAGGCCAAATTTGATCAGTTTCAAACTTTTACAGTGTTCATTGGCCAAAACACCAGATTAAAGGCTTTTAAAATTGTATTTCTGAATGTGCTTTAGGCCTTTGTTGTTGTTGTCATTGTTGTAGCGAATAACTGCAATGAAGCTTCTCAAAACAAATCTAATTTCATTTTATTATCTAAAGGACATTTATTCATTAGGTTTACAAAATTATACAGAAAACAATACTAAAAAGGATTAAAAACAGACCTTTGCCATCACTTGTAAAATTCCCTCTCCACAATGTTTGCTTTTCAACAGCACAGGACTGTTGTATCTACTGAACAGTTTCAAAATTACCTGAAATATGACCTTATGTACTGAATACTTTGCAGTGACATTTATAATAACTAAGTGGGGAGACTGTTATCTAGGTGTTTTTGCAGAAAAAATTTCAGGGCATATGTGATGTTAAAATCCCCAGGTCC